CACAAACCAGGAACCAGAAAGACAAATCCAGACAATACACACATGAATTTTACTTAGTCTGCCCAGTGTTAAAAAAAACAAAATTCAACTGAGTAAATTTGAAGATCGAATTGGCTTTGTTCACCCCATCAAGTTAAATAGAAAGAGGCTCTGAGGAGTTGTATAAAATGGAAGATGTTTATAGGTAAAAGGAGGATGGGTCAAGAAGGTATCAGCCAAAGAGAAGAAAGGATTATTTCAGACCACGGTGTCTTCTTTTGGGGGCAGGGAGCAGCAGGGGTCTTTATCATGCAGATAACCTCACTCCGGTAGATTGGACTTTTCAGATTGACTGTTTCAAAGGTCACATTTCTAGGAGGGATTGAAATTGCAATGATGTCTTGGTTTGCTGTCTGAAGGAGCCATGACTCCATTTGAGGCTGAGTATTTCTTTTTAGCATCAGTATCTTTTTTAGAGTCTGAATTTGTGTGAGGTCAGACTGGGCCTTTGCTTTCCAGCTCACCACAGGCCCATCACGATGAGTGTGTTAAGCCAGTGGCTTCCACTCTTCACCCTCCCTGCCTAGACCCTTATGTTAGATCTGAGCGCAACTCCTGTCTGCAGCCCAAACCTCTTTCTGAGCATCAGACCCATAGATCCAGATGCCTCCTGGATTGATAATCCATGGAAGGCCTCGCATGTCGTGCAGGACTAAATAAACTGTAACTAGGGCTTCCTTGGTGGCTCAGATGGTAAAGAATCTCCCTGCAATGTGGGAGACCTAGGTTCGATCCCTGGGTTGGGAAGATCCCCTGGAGAAGGGAATGGCTACCCACTCCAATATTCTTGCCTGGAAAATCCCAAGGACAGAGGAACCTGGCGGGCTACAGTCTATGGGGTCGCAAAGAGTCGGACACGACTGAGTGACTTCCACTCACTCACTCAGAGGTATTGTTATCCCTACTGTGCATATCATCTTAGGGTCTCACAAGCACCTCAGCTCAACCTGTTCAAAGCATTAAGTCACCTAGACTGAGAGCAACTCTGGGCCCTTTGTCTTCTTCATTTCTCACACCTTATGCAAAATCTCTCTTGATTCCATCTAGTTTTCTCCATCTCTGCTGTCATCATCCTAGTCCCAGGCACCATCATTTTTTGCTAGAACTATGTAGTTACCTAATTATTCTTCTGCACACATCACTGTTTCTATCTAATTCATTGTTCAATTCAAAACCACAGTTTTACTAAATAAATCTGATATTGCCTCTCCCTGCCTGCCTCTTGAGAGGAGTCCCTTGGACAGCAAGGAGATCAAATCAATCAATCCTAAAGGAGATCAACCCTGAATGTTCATTGGAAGGGCTGATGAAGCTGAAGCTCCAGTCCTTTGGCCACCTGATTTGAAGAGCTGACTCATTGGAAAAGACCCTGATACTGGGAAAGATTGAAGGCAGGAGGAGAAGGGGACAACAGAGGATGAGATGGTTGGATGGCATCACTAACTCAATGGACATGAGTTTGAGAAAACTCAGGGAGATAGTTGAGGACAGGGAAGCCTGGCTTGTTGCAATTTATGGGGTCACAAAGAGTTAGACTTGACTGAGCGAATGAACATCTCCCTGCCTTCAGTGGCTTCCCAATACCCGAGGATAAAATCCAAAATCCTTACCAAGACCCTCCCCAGTCTGCCTCCTGCCTGCTCCCCCGCTGCCGCTGACAGTCTGCGTGGTGGCCCTCTGGGACTTGTCCTGTCCATGGCCTCTAGACTACCACAAAGGCCATTCCTCATTCTGGAAAGCTGTCCCCTCAACTGTTCACTTGAAAAGTTTGTACAGTTTCTCCTTAGCTTATTAGCTTAGCTGTCACTTTCTCAGAGGGTCTTCCCTGATACCAAAAAGGAGCCAGACCCCCTGCTACGAGCTCCCAGAGCCCCTGCGCTTTCCCTGGCTAGGGCTCGTCACCCTGAGTTCTGAGTGTGCCCCCTTCTAGACCATGGCCATGTGAAGGCATGGACTGTCGCCTACTGACTGTTCACGGCTCTCTCTTCCGTGCTTGGAACACAGACGTGCACAGTAAATGTTTGCTGAGGAAAGGAAGAAAGGGAGAGAAGAAGAAGAAAGTGGAAGGGGAACCAGAAAGGAACAACAGGCTCCTTCTGGCCAAAGAGAGGACAGGAGCGGACACATCCTGCCCCACCACTGCCCTGAAGTCGAGAACTCCTGAGGGCGGGAATCCTCTCTTACTCAGTGTTGTAGCCTCAGCGTCTAACAAAGAGCAGGTGAGCTGTGGAGGCTGTGGAATGAATGAATTTACTATGAGTCCCTGACCTAGACTGTAACCAATGGTATAACCAGCCAGAGAACCACTGGTTTTATAATAAGCCTCAAGCAATGGTTTGACTTTTTAGAGTATGTTCATGTGTATAAACTCTGATAAAGATTAAAACCTAAAAAAGATGGAAATGTGGAAAAATTCTTACTGAGTACTCTATGGTCGTGTGTGCTCAGTCGTGTCCAACTCTTTGCAGCCCCATAAACTGCAGCCTGCCAGGCTCCTCTGTCCATGGAATTTTTTAGGCAAGAATACTGGAATGGGTTGCCATGCCCTCTTCTAAGGGATCTTCTAGACCCAGAGATCAAACCCATGTCTCCTGTGTCTCCTGCATTGGCAGGTGGATTCTTTACCAGTGAACCAGCTGGGAAGCCCGAATACCCTATGGTCACCACCAGTCAGATCAAATTGGGTATGAACTTACAACAGGAAGTCTGTTATCCAAGTGTAATGAAGCCATCATTCAGTTCTTAAAGAAAATATCATTCTTAAAGTCAAAGGAACACATAAAGAAAATGCAGTTCATTCATGGGACTAAAATGTAGATTTTGGCTTCACCTACTTTATCTACTAAGCCAGAATGAAGGGCAAACATGGCTTTGGCTCTCCAGAGCCTGAATTTTGGGCCTGGACCATCACTTAACTGTGCAAACGCATGCCTTTGGGAAATTGATCCAGCCTCCCTGCTCTACTTTCTTTCCTATACAATGGGGGAAATGAGACCTACCTTGCAGGATGGTTTTGAAAATGAATAACAAAATGTAAAATACCCAGCCGGCCCTGGTGACCAGGTGCTCATCGATTTCATTGTTTGAAAGTACTCCTGCATTTTAATTATTTAAAGGTATGGTGGCCTGGCTCAGAGTTGCAGGGAGCTCAGGAAATGCTGTACTCCCAGTGGGAGGAGGCACTATTTCTTTACTGTCAGTGCCTTAAAAGAATGAGGAAAAGGTGGCAGGGAACTAGGAAAGCAATTGCAGGAAAGAAGCCTGGGAAATAAAAATGGGAGAATTTCGTTCTCACTGGATCTCAGTCACACTGAAAATCAGGGTTTTCTTCTCTTCCCTTTTCCTTCTCCTTTGTTCAGGAGGGAGGCCCCTCAGGCAGTGCAGCGGGGGGCAGGATCCTAGCGGGCAGAAGAAGGAGCCTTGCTTCTCCTGCCTGCTTGTCTCTCCATTGTTTCTTTGGAGAAATTAAATTCATATTCAGACACTTAAACAAAATAGGACTTTATTTTATTTCAAAGGCAAATCATGTTTATTCTGGAAAATATATGCAAGCCAAAAAAAGAAAAAATTATACAAAATTCCACTGCTAGATCACCATGAAACTATTTGGGAGTCTATCCTTTCAGAGTTCTTTCTAGGCAATAAGGACATAAGCCAGTATGTTCTTATAAAAACAAATGGGATCGAATGCTACATACTGTTCTGTAATATGATCTTTTTCACTGACAACTTCCCATGTCAGTAAATGAATGTATCTAATGTCGTGATGGGTGACATCAGTGGATGCTCAGGTGGCTGGCCCCTGGCACCCACGGTGCCCTCCCTGGAAGGAGACTCATAGCTTGTTTCTGTGAAACATGTGAGTCGAAGTGGGCAGCTTTGTAGGCAAACCTTTATGCAATCCACAATTGTTTTCTTACAGCAAATTCTCACATTCAGTCTTAATTTTCTCAAAAAAAAAAAAAGACAATATGATTAATCTGTTTCAATCATAAGTAGACTTCTTTGGAGAAGAAGGAAGAGGCTAAACATGATGCTTTTTATTTCTGATTTTGTTCAACCTCTACATATTTCTCAGCAGTGCTCAGTCGCTCAGTTGTGTCTGATTGTTTGTGACTCTACGGACTGTCATCCTCCAGGCTCCTACATCCATGCGATTTTGGTAGCTCGGACGGTAAAGCGTCTGCCTACAATGTGGGAGACCCGGGTTCGATCCCTGGGTTGGGAAGATCCCCTGGAGAAGGAAATAGCAACCCACTCCAGTATTCTTGCCTGGAAAATCCCACGGACTGAGGATCCTGGTAGGCTACAGTCCAAGGGGTCGCAGAGTCGGACACAATTGAGCGACTTCACTTTCACTTTTCAGTGGAGTGGGCTGCCATTTCCTTCTCCAGGGGATCTTCCCGACCCAGATATCGAAGCTGTGTCTCCTGTATTGTCAGGCAGATTCTTTACCCAGTGAGCCTATCTCAAACATAGCCTTATTTCTAGTCAGCAAACTTAAGAAGAAAGACAGTTACTGTCCTTAAAGAGATTACAAGCTCATAACATATGTAAGAGACACAGTAATTCTCTCATTTGCACAAAAATACCTGATTTTTTTTACCAGGAGAAGTGAAGACAAGACGGACACAGTATTAATAATAATAGCCAGTGTTTAATGAGAACTATCTGTGAACTGTTAGTGTCTTACATGTTATACTGTATTAGATGACACTTATGATTTAATTCTCAGTCAGCCTATGAAGTAGGTACCAGTGTTGTGAACATTACATTGTTGTGGGAACTGAGGTACAGAGAAGTTCAGTAACTTGCCTAAGGTAACTCAGCTAGTGAGGGGCGGAGCTGGGATTTGATTCTAGGCCCACTGAAGCTGGGTCCCGCTAGGCTGAAACACTGGGGTTGGACTGGGAGACAGCATCGTGGCGACCCAGAATAAGCACGGTAATGTACTTTCCCAGGTACTGCGGCCTGAAAACGGGCTTGCTGACGTCCCCCATGGTGGGCTTCATGGCGACCAATCAGTGCACCTTCCACACACCGGTCAGCTTTCCTCAGATCCCAGTGGCTGCATTGGCCGTGGAGAAAGTGGGTCGCTCCAGCGTGCACTACCGCCTTGCTCTGTTCCCGCCTAAGCCCACCAAGGAGACGCCTTCCGTCGACCACTGGGACCTCAGCGATGGATTCTTCTTCGGCCACCCCAAGCTGGCTCACTTTGCCGCTTTGGCCTGTACTACAGGGTCTTCAGTCCATGTCTTTGTCAATCCAGCCACCAGCAAGCCGGTGGGCCTTCCCGAAGACTTCCGGAGGGGCCTCCTGCGGCTGATGAGACCGGCTCCAGGGTGAACGCCTGTATGGGAGTCACGCCTGCCAGAAAATAAAGGGTAGATGATCCTCTTAACAGTTTCTTCTGTTTAATTGAACTACATTTGGTCTATTTATGTTGTATTGGTTTGAGGTGTACAGCAGAATGATTCAGTTATATATGTATAACTGAATACATACATACATACATATGTATGTATGTGCTTCATATTACTTTCCATTATAGGTATGTATGTGCTTCATATTACTTTCCATTATAGGTTATTATAAGATGTTGAATATAATTCCCTGTACTGTACAGTAAATCTCGTTGCTTATCTTTTTGGGGGGTGGGGGGTGCACCATGTGACTTGTGGGAGGGATCTTAGTTCCCCAACCAGGGACTGAACCCATGCCAGGTCAGGGCAGTGAAAGCCAAAATCCTAACCACTAGACCACCAGGGGACACCCCATGTTACTTATCTATTTAACGCTCAGTAGTTTGTATCTGTTATTCCTATACCCCTAATTTATCCCTCTCTACTCCTTTTCTTCTTTTGTAACTAAAAGTTTGTTTTCTCTGTCAGTGAGTCTTTTCTATTGTGTATACAGATTCATTTGTATTATTTTTTAGACTCCACTTGTAAGTGATGTCATATAATATTTGTCTTTGTCTTGCTTTGCTAAGTATAATGTTCTCTTTGTCCATCCATGTTGCTGCAAATGGCAATATTTCCTTCTCTAGATGATTTCTTTTTATTCCTTAATGTGGTTTTTTCCACCCTGAGGAGAGGGTATTTTATACCCTTTATGAGTGTCACCTCTCTTCACCAGTCAAGCATCCCTGTGCATCAGGCCCGGGGCAAAGTGCTTCACACCTAGGGTCTCGCTGAGCCCCCACACCAGCCAGCCAGGCTGGTGCTGCTCTTCTCTCCTTTCTCAAAGAGGAAAACAAGGTTTGCAGGGTGCGAATATCGATAATTGGCCTAGTCATTCAACTAGTGAGTGGGTTTGTCTCTCAACTCACCTGGGCATGCTGGCTACAGGCATCTTTATCTCCAGCAGCACGGCTGCATACTTGCTCTGATTTAAAACCACTAATCCGAGTCTTTAAATGTCTTCAGCTTCTTACAGTTAATATAACCACATGAACTCTTTTTTTTTTTTTGGTCAGATGTGAACTTAAAAAAAAAGGAAAAAACAATGTTCTTTCCTGTATTTAAAACAACAAACACACCTTTGACAATTTTCTGATAAATTCACGACATCCATCAGTCACTAATGGCATGTGTTGCAATCTAAAAGTAAACCTTTGATGCTGAAATATGTAAGAACACTGCTTTGGTATAACAATGAAAATGGTTACCATTTCCTGCGTGCTGGCCACACAAAGTGCTTTATGGTCGTTACGTTAATCCATCCTGATTTCTCTTCTATAAAGTAGGAGTTATTGTTGCCATTTTTCAGATGAGAACATTGAACTTTTAAAGAGAACAACTGGAGTTGGAGAAGGTATTCTAGTCCAACCTCTCTCTCAGTCCTGAGACAGGGAAACACACAAGCTTAATCTCTCTGGGCCTCAGTTTCCACCCCTGAAAATATAACCTTTCCTGAATATTTTTGATTGTACTAAGACTCTGATCTGCTTTTGAAATGAGTTTCAAATCGCCACCACATACAACTAGATTTGGAATACCCTGACCATGATAAAAACAACATTAAAAGCTATTCCTTTGTCATTTAATTCATTCAGTTTCACCTAGTGATAGATTGATTTTTAGGTTTTAAAACACTTCGTACAAGAATTCTAAATCTCGGCAAGACCATTAAGCAGCAGCCTGGTTGGTAGGTATTGATTTATCTGACCTCTGGCATTTGACCTCCTCAGGAAGGTCATCGGGGAAAACCCCCTTTTTGGGTGTCTCACTTCTCTGCTCTTGAGTTCTTGCATATGCGTTGCTCACCTTGTCTCCTGGCTGTGGACTCCTCAGTTCAGGAGGAGGAGGAAGAAGATCCCAGCCAGAAGAGGAGCAGAGAGGATCTGATCCCAAAGTGGTCAGTGCAGGTTGCTCAGGATTTAGGGAGGTGTTGATTAAAACATCCTCCTTTCATTGGCAAAGGTATTCTGATCTGGCCAATCAATCATATAGTCACCTAACTTATGAGCTGTGTTATTTTGGATATTAATTCCCCTTAAAGTTCCCTCACTTATAAAATGGAGAAAATCATACTATTACCACTGGTTCACGACCCAGATAATCACGATGGTGTGATCACTCACCTAGAGCTAGACATCCTGGAATGTGAAGTTAAGTGGGCCTTAGGAAGCATCACTACGAACAAAGCTAGTGGAGGTGATGGAATTCCAGTTGAGCTATTTCAAATCCTGAAAGATGATGCTGTGAAAGGGCTGCACTCAATATGCCAGCAAATTTGGAAAACTCAGTAGTGGCCACAGGACTGGAAAAGGTTAGTTTTCATTCCAATCCAAAGAAAGGCAATGCCAAAGAATGCTCAAACTATGGTACAATTGCACTCATCTCACACGCTAGTAAAGTAATGCTCAAAATTCTCCAAGCCAGGTTTCAGCAATACATGAACCGTGAACTTCCAGATGTTCAAGCTGGTTTTAGAAAAGGCAGAAGAACCAGAGATCAAATTGCCAGCATCTGCTGGATCTTCAAAAAAGCAAGAGGATTCCAGAAAAACATCTATTTCTGCTTTATTGACTATGCCAAAGCCTTTGACTATGTGGATCACAATAAACTGTGGAACATTCTGAAGGAGATGGGAATACCAGACCACCTGACCTGCCTCTTGAGAAACCTGTATGCAGGTCAGGAAACAACAGTTAGAACTGGACATGGAACAACAGACTGGTTCCAAATAGGAAAAGGAGTATGTCAAGGCTGTATATTGTCACCCTACTTATTTAACTTATATGCAGAGTACATCATGAGAAATGCTGGGCTGGAAGAAGCACAAGCTGGAATCAAGATTGCCGGGAGAAATATCAATAACCTCAGATATGCAGATGACACCACCCTATGGCAGAAAGTGAAGAAGAACTAAAGAGCCTCTTGATGAAAGTGAAAGAGGAGAGTGAAAAAGTTGGCTTAAAGCTCAACATTCAGAAAACTAAGATCATGGCATCTGGTCCCATCACTTCATGGCAAATAGATGGGGGAACAGTGGAAACAGTGGCTGATTTTATTTTTCTGGGCTCCAAAATCACTGCAGATGGTGATTGCAGCAATGAAATTAAAAGACGCTTACTCCTTGGAAGGAAAGTTATGACCAACCTAGATAGCATATTAAAAAGCAGAAACATTACTTTGCCAACAAAGGTCCATCTAGTCAAGGCTATGGTTTTTCCAGTGGTCATGTTTGGATGTGAGAGTTGGACTGTGAAGAAAGCTGAGCACTGAAGAATTGATGCTTTTGAACTGTGGTGTTGGAGAAGACTCTTGAGAGTCCCTTGGACTGCAAGGAGATCCAACCAGTCCATCCAAAAGGAGATCAGTCCTGGGTGTTCACTGGAAGGACTGATGTTGAAGCTGAAACTCCAGTACTTTGGCCACTTGATGCGAAGAACTGACTCATTTGAAAAGACCCTGATGCTGGGAAAGATTGACAGCAGAAGGAGAAGGGGATGACAGAGGATGAGGTGGTTGGATGGCATCACCAACTCGATGGACATGGGTTTGGGTAGACTCTGGGAGTTGGTGATGGACAGGGAGGCCTGGTGTGCTGCGGTTCATGGGGTTGCAAGGAGTCGGACATGACTGAGAGACTGAACTGAACTGAACTGAACTGAACCACTAGTTACTGAGGAGTGCCAGTCACCAGTGTTTTTAACATCCTGACCCCTCACCCAGAGCAATAGTAGAATTGCACTTCCTACTCCCCTGAAGTTAGATGTGGCCATGTGACCTGTTTAGACCAATGAATGGGAGCCACATGCCCATGTGACTTGTTTTGACCAATGAATGGGAGACAAGGTTACCTTCAGGAGTGACCATGTTTCTTTGCCTGTGCTCCATTTCTCAGTGGACATGGGTGGATATGGAGCCGCCCTGCTGAGTCCCACACCACAGCTGCCATGGACAATTGCTCAGAACCAAAGCAGAGTTTGAGAAAGGAAAAATTAACTGTTGCTGTAAGCCACTGAAGTGATATGATTTTTACTGCAGCTTAACCTAGCGTATCCTCTTACTTACGAGTACCAACCTCACAGGGCTGTTGTGAGGGTTCAATGGTTAGTGTATGTAAGTCCTTGGCAGGGTGCCTGGTACAGGTGTTATTAGTATTTACATAGGAGAAAAGAAATACTGTGTGCTCCCACTACACAAATACCTCCAAGGTAGGAAAGTAACCAGTCTTCACATTCATTTTCTTTTATGAGTCTCTGTGGGAAATTGGGCACTATTTTACAGGAGAAGAATCAGAGAGGTACTTAAAGCACACAGGATGATGGGATGCAGTATACCTAGGGTGTGTTTCCCAAGTCCCAGACCCTGGAAATGACCATATTTGAGAGTACAGATGGATACTTGGAAATCGCTCCAAGTTCATGTAAATCTCATGAGTTTGAGCGCTGATGACACAATCTTTCCACTGCTCAAAATTTTAATGCTTCAACATGAGCCAAAGTGTTAGATGTTATGGTACTCATTGGTTTTTTGGTGGGAAATCCTAGCACTATGACCTTGCTTTCAGAATACAGAAAGAATTGAAAAAAAAAAAAATACAGAGAGCCAAATAGTTGCATGTAGTTGGAGGAAGCTGACTTTTACTATAAAGGTGGCAAAATAAATCTAGAAAGACTTTAAAATGCAGTCAGCCCTTCACCACTCTGCAAGATGTTTTTGCTGAGCTACTAACACGTGGCCACCTATCTGTTGTTTGCTGGGCACTTCTGAGCAGTTACGACTCCTGCATTTGCTAACAAGGAACAAGTACAGGAATCCAAGCGGGTGAAGAAAGCCTTCAGGTGTGCAGATTTTCTAACTACATCTTTGTTACACTCGAATTCATTCGAAAATCTACAGTAAGAGACAAGAGATACAAAATACATGTTCATGTTTTGCTTGGACAGATTTTGGCTCCTAGCAATTAATGCTTTCAGTCACATTAAGCATATAGATAATGCTTTGTGACATAACAGTATTTCCCATTACAGATCAATTTTGTAGCATTTGTTCATAATCAGACTTGAAATGTTACCTAGAAACAAAATATGTTTTCCTTGAAACAGTCAGACCCTATTAGAAATCTAAGGCTTTACAAATCACCATGTTAACAGCTATGTCCCCTAGCTAAGGTTTTCTTTCCTTAAATAGTGTTAAATTCAGCCCCAGAAGCACTAGTCTCTTAGAGGGTTCTCGTCTTATGTGCACTGACTTGAAAGGGAAAAACTTAGTGTTCAAAATATATTTAACATCTGACTATGTATAACTTAATAAACCAGCCAGTATTCCCTTTTGGGGAAAAATAATGTTAGCACCTTTTAAAAGTGTTATGCTTATAATTAGGTTATACTATATTATTTTCTCATTTTTTAAAAGACATGTTCTCATTGCTTAAAAAAAGGGTCAGCCTATTTCTAGGTAAGTGAGTTATTCTCATTTCCTGACCACATAATCATATACTGTGAGTGAGCAAAGAAATAAAGAGAACATATGTCAGATTCAGAGATTTGGAGCAGTAAAATTTAGTATTAAACAACAGAGATTTTGGAGCAAGGAACACTTGGATTTGCATTCTGGTTCTGCCATTTGATCACTTGGAGTCTTGGCAAATTACTTTTCATTCAGCAAATGTTAGCTATTTAAAAAAAAAAAATTATAGAATTCTGCTCCCCCCTCCACCCCAGGAGCATTCTTTCATTAAAGCTAACAATCTCTCGATCATTCAGCAAATAATTACAGAGGATTTATTGTAGGCTAGGCTTTACTGCTCTACTGTTCTAGGTCGTGGGAACCAGCAGTTAGTTAAACAAATCAGGGTGTTGTCATAGAGCTTGTGTTCTAGCTCAAGGAAGATGGACAATTTACAAACAAGATGTCAGGCAGTTGGTTGATAGGTACCCCCCCAAAAGATATGTCTCCCTCCTAACTCCTGGAACCTGTGAATATGAGCTTACTTGGAAAAATGGCCTTTTGCAGATATAATTAAGGATCTAGAAATTAGATCACCCTGGATTATCTAGGTGGGCCCTAAAGCCAACTCCAAGTGTCCTTGTAAGACACACACAAAAGAGAGACTCACTCAGAGAGAGGGAAAAAAGGCCGTAAGACGGATGCAGAGTGGAGTGAAGCAGCCATAGCAGGCACACCTGAACTACCAGAAGCAGGAAGAAGCAAGGGTTGTAGGATTCTCCCTTAAAGCAGTCAGGAGCACTGTCCTGCTGAGGATGAGATGGTTTGATGACATTACTGACTCAACAGACTTGAGTTTGAGCAAACTCCGGGTGACAGTGAAGGACAGGGAAGCCTGGTGTACTGCAGTCCATGGGTTGCAAAGAGTAAGACATAAGAGCAATTGAACAACGGTCCTGCCAACGACTTGAGTTCAGACTCCAGCCTGCACTGTTCAGTTTCTGTTGTTGAAAGCCACACTCTTCTATGGTAATTTATATAGCAGTCCTGGGAAACAAATATAAATGGCAATATGTACATAGCAAGCAGAAAATAAAACAGGGAAATGAGGACTCAAATGTTGTCATTGTTCAGTTGCTAAGTTGTATCCCACTCTATTGCGACCCCATGGACTGTAGCCAGGGGGTCCTGGTTCCTCTGTCCATGGATTCTCCAGGCAAGAATACTGGAGTGGGTTGCCATACCCTCCTCCAGGGGATCTTTCTGACCCAGGGATTGAAAGTGCGGCTCCTGCATTGGCAGGCAGATTCTTTACCTCTGCGCCACCAGGGAAGCCTGAAGGACGACAAGTAATGGAGTCGGGAAGGTCCCCTTTGAGGAATCAGGTTTGAGTTACCCCAGGATGTGTGCACTGGGGCTTCCCAAAGAGAAAGGACAGGGCCCAATTTTGAAATGAATTTGGTGTGTTTGAGGACCAGAAATTCAGTGAGGCTGCTATGGGAGATGAAACCGAGTGATGCTGATGAGGTGGGAAAGGACCAGATGCTATTGGGCCTGGTAGGCCTTGGGAGTCCCTTGGACACCGAGATCAAACCAGTCAATCCTAAAGGAAACCAACCCTGAATATTCATTGGAAGGACTGATGCTGAAGCTGAAGCGCCAATACTCTGGCCACCTGATGCAAAGAGGCGACTCACTGGAAAAGACTCGTATGCTAGGAAGGCAGAAGGGGACAACAGAGGATGAGATGGTTGGATGGCATCACCAGTACAACGGACATGAACTTTGGCAAACTCTGGGAGATAGTAAAGGACAGGGAAGCCTGGCATGCTGCAGTTCATGGCGTGGTAAAGAGTCATCAGGTACAATGTGGCAACTGAACAGGCCTTCATAAGAAGCCTAGATTTCCTTCCAGCTGATCGTCTCTGAAAGGTCTTACAGTTAAGATGACCTGCAGCTTCTCTAATTATCGTAGAGAAGTATATGTTAAATAAGTAAATATTAGTATGTACTAAACATTCTAGTAGCTGAATTTTTAAAATGTAGAACTTCTTTAACCTTACTCACGTCATCTCAACCCTCTGTTAAATTCTCTATCAGTAGCGAATAATGTCACAAATGGTACGTGTGAAGTCAAACACCACAGGACACAGTAGAAAATCCTCAGCGGGATCCTTTATTCATTCACTTTGTACTTATAAGGTGGAATTTCAACCTGTGAAAGTTCTTTCTTCCAGTTTAGCCAGTGGCTTGGAACACTACTTTGTCAACTCCGTGGTGTAAGTGGTCCCAGGGTAGGTTGGAAGGCTGTGGATTCACCGGACTGGAAGAGATGGGTTCCAGAGCTCCACTAGGCAGGCTTCCCCAGGACCCCACTCTATTCCTGTCAGAGATCAGCGAGGAAATGGATTGGATTTCTAGTCACTTTTTCAAAGATCAGATCTACTTCATTTACATGTCAAGAAGAATTTCTCAAGTATAATAAAGTGTTTACCATTTTCCTATAGTTCTTCAAATGCCTGACATTCATCTTTTCTCCCTACCTTTAAAATTCCTTTCTTTTTCACATTATCTTTCTTAATTGCTTCTTATTGTAAAAAAAACAAAGACAAAAAACAAAGATGGGTGGATCTGTTGTGCACATTAGCAGGTTCATACAGAAAAATGCACAGAGGTTTATATGCCATTTACAGTAATAGCTCAGAGTACAGTCAAGAAGGAAGAATTTGAAATAATCAGCCTTGCTCTGAAAGAAGCCTGTGTAGGAAGAGATACCACTGAAGCTTAATCAGAATTTTCCCTTACCAACTATTAACAGTGGAAATGCAAAAAATCTGCAGTTAAAATGCATAGCAGTCACTCCATATACTGCCCTCTCTCCACCTACCCAACTTCTGAATGACAGGGCTTTTCAAATTTCATTCTTCTTTAGTTCAAATTTCATGGGAAAAGCTAAAAATTCATGTTTTAGTAATGTATCCCCATAGAGCATTGCAAGTCACCAAGATTTTAATGTGTTTGAAGAGAAATGTTACTCAAATAGTGGTGAGTAATTTCCAGCAAATATCGAGTAAAAAACAATTTTAACCCCAGTCTGAGGTGATGAATTTGCTTTCTGTGGGGACATAACTGCTATAAGTGAGACAATTGTAGCAACCATCCAAGACAATAAAAGAAAGCCTATGACAGTCTGTCATGATATGGTGAGCGTGCATCAGAGCTCATCGTGGTTTTTGGTGAGGTCTTCCCCATAATTGGTAGCTTGGCTTCCAACAAACATGTTCCAGTTGTCTAAGATCTCCTCTTTAGTGAGCTTTTCATCCTAGAGGAAAGAAGAAAGCGCTTTGTCACAGAAACTCCTCAGTAAATAGCTCAGCATGACACTCATGTCATTTCATTGATCTGCAACATTTAAAATATTACAATTCATAATTAAGAAACTGCTGGGTACCTCTTTCATCTACCATCACTGCTCTGCAAAACCCTAAATGGAGCAGCCTCCTGCTGTAAACACTGAGCTAAAATATATCGGAAAAGTCCTCAAGGAATTCAGAAGCCAGAGTCTGGTTATGTCTACATGCAGTGCTGGCATTCCCAAAACAGGCCCTGAAGAATTCCACTTCCCTTTTATGGCCTGACTGCAGAACCTGACTGTCTCCCGAGAATTTGGAGCAGTGATCAAAATGGGAAGAGGCAGGACTTCTTTCTACATCGTGTATATTTGCATATTGACCAGTGGATATTGGCATTGGAGCTGGCATGGTGAGCTGGCCTGAGGATGCCTGGGCCTTCATGTGATGGGATCCCTGCTGCCTCACATGCTGCAGATGTCTGATGAGAGTCTGCTGAAGGAATGAATGGATGAAAAACTGGTCCTAGGCCGATGCAGGGCATACCTCTTAAATCCATGCCTGTCTACAGCCAACAAAGTGACTGGCTCTGCGATCCTAAGAGATGTCAGCAAACCTCAGTGCAACCCACAATGGACTCTCTAGGAATAGGAACCTCTGGCCTAATGAGCTCACTGCGGGTGATCGCGATGTTGGCCAAGTTCACAGGTCTCAGATGCAGGGCAGGAATGAGAGAGGTCAATAAGGGCATGGCCGCATGGGCCAAGGCAAACATCAAAGAAGCAAACAGAACTGATCTTATGTAAACTGTCTCCCTTCAAGCAAAGGTTCCAGAAGACTGCGAAATACCTTGTTTTTGTCTGACTCGTACACCAGGTGCCTGGCCTCGGCCTGCGCATGGTCGTAGTCTTCGGGGAGGATCCAGTGACGAATCTCATCTTTGTCCAGCTTCCCGTCCTTGTTCAGATCCCGGAATTCATTAAACTGCTCCCGTTCTGACACCACCCAGTCTGGCTCAGGGCCACTCTCCTCGTGGGAAAACATATCAGCTAGAAGGGAAGGCTGTTCTTGGTTATGAAGACCAGTGGGAAGGTAAATCTAAGAAAACCTGACCTCCAGCAGTCACGAGACCTAACCAGATACCTGGGGGGCAGTCTCCTCTTGGGTAAAGAATACAATGATTTATCCACTCTAAAGGCCACTGAGTGGAAGAGAAAGAACTGTGCTTGGAAGCCAGAAGGTGAATTCTGGCCTTTGACTTAGTCCAGTGCCTTGTGGAGACGGTAATTTATTATTGAAAAGGTTATTATCAAGGTCAAATGGGACATTTCTGTGAAAGTCCTCTATAACCCAGCCTGGAAGTATACAAGTGAAAACTAATAATAATGACCAATACCAGCACTTTCTATGGTCCAGATGCTGTATAGAATGCATACTTTTTAAAATTTGAGTTTTCATTACAATCCTATAAAGTAGGTGTTGTTATTCCCACTTTATAGATGAGAACACTGAGGCACAGCCTTAACCCAAGGAGGACCCACGGCTAGCATGAGAATGTAGTTGACTATACAGGAACACGAGCACTTGGCTTCCAACCCATAGTCTTAACCACTGTGTTTATTACTGTTACTGTTTATATCATTTCCAGAGGGCTTTCACATATATTTTACTTCAATTTTATAAGTCAGATCAATAACCTTGTTTTACAAAATGGCAGGGAAAGGGAAAAAGAAGGCAAAGCTTACCCACTGTTTGCTAAGCCATTAGATTTTCTAGGAAAAGAAGGAGACCTTGTGGGCAATTTCTCTTTGATGGAAACAGCTTGGAAACATCAGGTGGTAGAGAGAGTAGGTAGCGAATGAAGGAAAAAGAAAGGCAAGACCCTGGCTGGGTTCAGCTACAAGTAGACCCACACCATCCTGGAAACATGGGTGCGTGCCTTCCTGTTTTACAGATGAGGAGACCGAGGCTTATAGGCTTATACGGAATGATTACATGACTCCCACAGGGTCACAGAGTTAGTAAGTGGAGAAGCCAGGACTCTCAATTCCAGTATTCTTCCCACTGTACCATGTCACCGCTTGTCCCTGCCTGGAGAGAAGGCTCCCCACTAAAGGAAGTAGCTTGCTAGACAAGACACCTGGTCTCTGACAGCAAGTCGCTCAGAATTCAGTTTTCAAGAAGAATGCCCCCACCAGCCTCTCTGCAGTGTCCGGTGCAAAAAATGTTTCTTTTAGGCAACGTCACTCAAGAGTTTTGCCCCCTCGCCATGCACCTTTTCAATGAGGATCAGGAAGAGAGGGAGGGAGAGCACACGCTTGAAATCAGAAGAGCTACATTGTCTTAATCACCCTGCCTTCCCTTCAAGTCTAATTCCCTCACCACTGGGTGTGTGGGGCTCTGAAACTGCCCTCACACGCGTGTGCACCAGGCATCAGACAGGCTGCCCTGTGCACGCTGACGATGGGGCCGTCAGCGCTGACTCTTCTAAGGTAATTGCCACCGAGATGGTTTCAGTTACTGAGGAGAGAGCTGCCGTTCCCAGACACAGGAGAACAGCGTGTGCTGCTTCAGACCAAACAGAATTCCGAATGACTGGAAGAAACTCTGCTCTTCTTTCCAGCAGGCCCTTGTTCTCGTGTTTGGGGCGGCAGAGTTACACAAGCACGAACCAGAGGCTGATGGCAACGTGGGCGCTGCTTTTATTCAAGGTCACTGACTGCCTCTATTCAATACCTGCACAAAAGTTATATACATCCCACCCCTCAAACGATCTCCCAGCTTTTACTTTACTGACATTTGGGAAGAGAAGAGCTATCCTGAGAAGGGGGCCTGCAGCTGAGGATCAAACGGAAATATCCGTGCTGCCTCCTCCAGTCCCTCAGGCTGGAAGGGCTCCTGGGCGGCTGGGAAGGGCTCTAACCAGGAGCAGTGGCTTCTGACCTGGGGCTTAACTGGAGCCTCCTTCGACCAGGGCTCGGGTACCTGCAAACACACTTCTGGATGTTGCTCAAGTGGAGCCCTTAAGAACAAAAAACTGTGAACAGTACTCCCAATGAAAGACCAAAATCCAGAGACATAAAACAGCTGTATTTGGGGAAACCGTGCATTCTGTGAAAGGATTTACCTCTCTTAAGAAGGAATCCCTTTCTGCAGACAGCTTGCGCCTGTAAACAGTTCTGCTGACCACAGCTCTGTCTATTCCGTTTCTAGGCCCTGCTGGCGAATAGTCTGCTGTAGAGTCTGTCCCCTGAGACTGTCTGATCCAGCCCGCCTTTCCATCTCTGGGATCTCCAGGCCCCTCTCGCAAAGGGAGAAACTCCGTAGTGTGATGAAGATCACCTCTCAGAGCTGTGGGATCAATGGCTGACCTGGGCTCTTCTCCACCAGGAATGCCTCTCTGAGGCATTGTATTGCCTGCAATGCAGTGCATTGACCCTGCGCCCCTAGGACTGGTGTAACAAGTCCCTCTCACTGGGAAGTCAGAGGAGCGACACCAACAGACTTGCAGCTGCTGCTAAGAGACGTCTGAGGAAAAGTAGCCAGACGTGTGGGTGGAGGACTGGTGCCCAGTTGGGACAGAGGAGCAAGACTCCAGGCCAGCACTCACCAATATATTCATCCTGATCCACAAAGCCATCCCCATTCTTGTCGATGTCCTCCAGCGTTTCCTAGGAAGCAAAAGGGGAAGAGATGCAAGATAGCTCCGTGCTCTCAGTAAATCTAACTACTGTCCTCCTTTGTCTGGCTTTTATGGCTGGAGGACTTCTGGCTCATCTCCTGACCTCCCTGGGCATCAGTTTGTAATCTGTAAAAAACAGGCAATGGCTTCTGTCCCTCCTCCCCCAGCCTTCAATTTTAAAAGCAGAACACTCTCTGCAAATGAAAATGTACCTATAAGCCAGACATTCTCTTATTATGAAGCCCTGCCAAGCTAACCACCTCCACTCTCCTGCCTAATCGTCCCTGTGTACTGTGAGGAATCCAGCTTTGAAAACCACTGGACTAAAATGATCACCAAGATAGATTGTATTGCTAACTGGACCATGAACACCGAGGTGATGTCAGAAAATTATGGAACTGTGAAAAATTGGTAAATAAAAGTATATCTGACTTGAATACATTTGGGTGGCCAATAAGTAACAGCGTACAGAAAATCCTGAATGAACTTTCTGACCACCCAATATTATTTAGTGTGTATTTAGTACATTTGACCTCTAAACTAGGGTTTTTGTTTTGCTAGGGTAAGTAATTAAGTGAGTCTACTGTCCATTGTCACAGAAACTCAAAGGCATCCTGAAGAAAACAGCCAACCTGAGAATTGAGTCAATCCAGAAGCACATAATCCACGTCCCCATCTTCACTGTCTTCTGGCAAATTAGCCATCACTAAGTGGATGTTGGGTCTTAAAGGAATGGTTCTTAAAGCCATTGCCCAGTCCTCAGGGTCACTGTGGTCATAAGGATGCAGCATCCATGAGTGCACCCATCCATGACTGGAAAACTGAAATAGTCCAGGGCTGGTTGTTTCCCAGCAGTAAAACAACTGGAACTGCCTCAGGATGCCTGCCCTGAAAACAGGGGATCGGCATTTGCTTTAATGTCATGGAGAATGAAGACACCTGGGACCCGACAAGACACTATGGAAAGCAAATACACTCCAAGGGGAGTACTCTTTCTAGGCATGGTCTGACTTTTAAGTTTCCATATGATCTCATATGATTCAAGTTTTCATATGATTCCAGTGCATTCCATTTCTGAGTCTTTTTCTAGTTCCCTTAAAGCTGGCAAATGGGACAGAGGCTAGTTAGTTGCTCACCAAACTTATCTGCTCTTCCTGGGCACACATCTAAACTGTCAGTGTAGGAGCCCATGGAATGTAAAAGGAAAGGAGGTGTCATTTCCTGGCCAGAACAGTAAAGGCATACTGCGCCTTCTCCTTAGTCCTTCTCTTCTTCTGTCTATCAGATGAATACAGGGGATTGGCCAAGATGACCTCAAAGCCACAGGATGGTGGGGGACAAGATGGAAATGGCCGGGAGGCCTGCCAGCACTTGAGAACCGCCCAGAAGATCCACTGATGGGGACCGTCTGTCCTGGACTCAGTATAAGCAAGAACTCACTTTCGGTTATTGCGTTGAATAGCTGGGATTGGGGGCTGCTTGTTACAGCAGCTACCCTCCCCTGACTCATCTCCTGAGTACACAGGCCTTCCAGTGTATTCCACTGCAGAGTCCTTGTCCAGTTCCCCTTGGGCTGAAGAACATTCTCACTTTGCAAGAAAGGATAAGGTTTTGGTGCTGCTTCCCAGTTCAGGCTCTTTGGATATCTTACCAAAACCACAATTTCCTTCATATGCTCAAACTCCTCAGGATGCAGAAAGGCGGTGAACTCCTCCCGGGTGGCTGTCTGGTCACTGTCGAGGTCCGCAGCCTTGAACCTTCTCTCATCCCGTGGCAGCATCTTTTTAAAGGTGTGATGATCTGAGGTATCCTGAAACTCTGTGGGGTTTCCTGCAGGATGTGCACAGAAACACGAACACTGGCAAGCAAACTCAAGATCACGCCCTCCAGATCACGCCCAGAGGTATTTAATATGAAGGACAGAAGGTCCTGACGTGTCGAGTTTCTGAAACATTTTATTTCAGGATGCCTCCAGTGTCTGTCCCTCCAGGCCACCCTCCAGTCCAGGCCCTAAAGGCTTGTTAGGGGCATTATAGCAAGTGGTGGAAAACATAGGCTTGAGATCATATTAATATCCTACTTCACTTTGTAGTACCCTACTTTCATCATATTCTTTGACACAGAACAGACAAAGGCTCCCTCGTACCTGGGACATCTGTTCTAAGTTCCTGCGAATCTTTCAAGACCGCTCTTAATCTAGCTGGGACTGTGTGTGTTTGGTTCTCCTCAGGCCTGTCCTGTTACGTATGGCTTCTGCTCGGCAGCCATCTAGCAGGTCTGCACCCCATGCTGGGCACACACCACCCCCCATCATTCCTCCCAAACAAGCATGTCTTATGTCCAAACCTTGCCCGCTGCTGAAGGCATCGTTGCACCTTTGTCCCTCCAGCTGACCCACCTTCCCCACTCGTCTCCATCTCTCCAGATACAGATCCATTCTTTAAGGCCCAGTTCCCAAACCACCCTCCACCAGCAAGCCTTCCGAGACTGTTCTAGTTTACCCAGTCCTTGCTATCTGAAATTCAGCACACATGCTTCCTCTCTGCTTTGTTCCCTGGGTATGCCTCTGAGATCATAAGCTCAGGTTGGAGAGCAGCTTATTTTTTAGTAGACCCTCACCCCCTTCTACCTGCAAGTTCACTCAGAGTAAGTAGCCCGGAGTGTTGTTAGTAGGCAAAATAGGATGTTACACTGTTCTACTTAAGCAGGTTCTACTTAGAAGATTGTGACATCTCCCTGACATGGGTAGATATGATGAGAGATTAATTTCCCACAAGAAGCTTGTTACTCGGGCCCCAGCTGTGTAATCGCTCCTGCAGCACCACTTACCTAGGTAGTAACCATAGGTGGCTTGCTTGTATTCTTCCCAGGAAATTTTATCGTCTTTGTCCCGATCATAATCCTTCCAGACTTTGGCGACATTATCGTAGATGTACCTTTTCTGCACGCGTTTGATCCAGGTTTTCAGCTCCTCAGTGGTGACAAAGCCGTCTCCATTACTGTCGATTCGATCAACAATTTTCCTGTAGTTAAAAAAAAAACAAAACCCACGAGGCTATTACCAAGGCTTGTGTGATCCTGATCCAGAAAGAGATCAAACACCTGCAGAATCTAAAATGCTTAAGTGCTAAAATAAAATCAATGACCTGGTGATGCTTGAAAGGACCTTAAAGTTTAAGTTTTCCAAGTATGATATGCCTCTCTCCACCCACCCAGTGTCAACACCAGACGCTTGTGGATCAGGCCATTCTGTTGTCATAAACGGTGATGTGACCTCAGAATCCTTCTCAACACAGTGTTCTGCAGATAGACACTACCAACTGAGTGAGCTGCTTTGTAAGATGAAACCTAGCAGTTTTCCCTGATGTAGTTTAACTCCCTCATTTTAAAGTAATGAGGGAGTAATTGGTACCACTGGAGTCAGAGTCCATGTCCTCTGGCTCTAAACCCAATTCAAAAGATGGAAGAGTCTAGCTTTCTAGCTAACCCAACAAAAAATAAGCGAGATTTTTATTTTCCTTTATCTCACGACTTTGGATTCAAAGACTTGAAACTTAAAGCAGGAGGAGACCAGATCTCGGACAAAGCAAAAAATGTCAGGGATGAAAGGGCCTTGACATCGTGGAACCTCATCAGAAACCTGAGCAGCTGTAGGAACCTCAACCTGCTGCTCTTAGGGTGAAGGCCACTATGTCCACTGGCATGCCCTGCTCCACAGCTGGCCCGGGTTCCAGCAATTCCCCACTGGACTTCACTAGGGCACCGCATACCCCTGTGCAGAGCAAATGTCAAGCTGGGAACCTCAACAGTGTCCATCTCTTAGGCCAGAGGGCCCACGCTGGGGATGCCAGCCCTGAGAGGAACTTCAAAAACTCCTGAAAGCTACTTCCAGTGTTTAAGGAAGTTTTACCATAGTAGTTCATTTACCTGAAAAGAGGTCATATAGGCTAATTAGGGATTTGTTTGCTTTGGGCTGGAATTTTATCAACTCCAACTTTCTTACTGTGAACACAAGTTCAAATTGGCAGGTACTCTTTGATTGGAAATGGAAATGAGTTCATTAGTACTTAAGTCTCCATCCCCTACCTGAACCTGGGTAGCCTTCTCAAGAACTTGTCCCTTCCTTGCAATTTTGATAGGCCTCAAGACTAAAAGACTAAACCTCAAGTATCTTGCTTCCAGGAAATGACAGCCAAACACAGCAGAATTCTTTGAATACTGTGAAGTGTTTAGCCTACCTACTATGTGCCAGGCACTGCTCCAGTCCTGGCAGTGGTGACATGCCCATCAGTTATCCAAAGCCAACTAAGAAGCAGAATCTCAAACCAGCAAAGACCAAATGACGTCAGACAGTATACAACCTGCTTTTCGGAAACGACAGCATCCAATGGATGCCAAAGAAACATCCAGGACATAGCTCAGCCTGACACATAGTAGGAGCTCAATAAATATTTGCTGGAAGCATAAATCATCTTAACTTCTCTCTTTAAAAATCTCAAACATGAGCTATAGGTAAAGGTAGCTATGATGTAGATAAACCAAATGCTACAATGAGAACACCAGGATCCTAGTCTAGAGTGATCTCAGGTATATGACTTGACTCTCTGAGTCTCTGTTTCTCCATCTGTAAACTGGACACCTACTTTACAAGGAATGTTGGGATGGAGACAGTGTGCCCCCTTCCTCACTAAGGACGATAATCCCGAACACAGGTGGGTGGAGAACTCAACAAACAGGTAACAGAAGTAAGCAAAACGTCCCAGGTGGTCCAGTGACTTAAGACTGATGGGCTTCCAACGTAGGGACCCTCAGTTTGATCTCTGATCAGGGAACTAAGATCCTGCAGGCCACAACTAAGACCCAGTGCAACCAAATAAATAAGATAAAAATGTAAAAAAAAGAAGCCAGCGAAGCATCGGGGGATCGCCCACCAGCTGCCAAACAAGGCTGCCCAGCTCTGCTCCAGACAATGATCTCCATATGGAATAACAGGCCACGGGTGTCAACAGAAACCAAAAATCGGGGTCTGTATGTGAAGTCACTCCGATGCTAAATGTTGGCAAGTAATTTATATTTTTTTCTAAGACTGAGACAAAAAGACTGTGTACCACATTTGCAACTGCCCGAAGCCTATGAGTCCCTACTTTTTTGTGTCTTTGGGGGCCTTAGATCTGCCACGTTTTCAGAATCTATGTGCAGATGGTGGTGACGAAGCTGCCTCGATCCAGCCACGCTCCCCCCTCTGCAGCCCAGACTTGGAGCTGTGGACAGAAGATGGCTTCTCACACTCAGCCCAGCCCATCCCGCGCCCACCCTTCATTTCCAACCTTCCAACCGGCCCCCCACCCCACCTCTAGCCCAGAGTTACTTGTTAGGTGAGCGGTGTGTCCACCATCCATGCAGTGGCTCAGGCCACGGACCAGATGCCACTCTAGATTGCTCCCTCCTCTCCCCGCCCCTGCCACGCTGAGCCAAGAGCAGCACTGCCAGTTCCACCTCCAACGTGGCTCTGGGCTCACCCTCTCCCACCGTGCCTGATTCAGGCACTCACGGCCACCCCATGCCCGGGGCTCCCCATCTGTGCCTTGGTTACGTTCTCTGCCCTACTGCCAGTCCAACTATTCTAATACATTTTGGGATAATAACATTTCTACCATGTACAGAATAATGTCTAATCTCCACCTCACAAAGCTCCCTCAGTCCTGCCCTTGGCCTCCGTGCACTCCCACCTCCCACTTCTGCCCTGTCTCTTTACTGTCCCAACACCCGGAATCCAAAGGAACAGATTTTAAAATTGTCTATAAGCAGGCTGTTCTCTCTTCAGGAGTGCCTTCCCCTGTTTGTAAGCCTGGTGACCTCTGAGTCATGCCACAAGCCCTGGTCAGATGACACCCCAACCCCCCAAGTCCCCGGTCTCCAACCTGAAGCTTTCGGGGGCTCCTCCTAGATGTGGTCACTGTGGCTTTTACATGCCACCATCACAGCAATTATGCATAGCATCTGCTCCAGTCTCTCTCCCCTGCATATGATTCTAAGTACTTTATGGCCTAGAGCATAAGGTTTTATCTTTGTAGTTGTCGGGTATCTAACACCCTGCTGAGCACACAGTAGTCATTCAAATGTTTTTTCATTAGTAAATGAATGCAGCTAAGGTCTTCATACAAGGGTCAAATGCATCACCACTAGGCTTACTTGTCCTGCTCTCACCACTAGACTTACTTGTCCTGATGAAGGCATTAAACTGGAAGTTTTAGGACGGAAAACTAGAGTTCCCTACTCCAATTCCTCAAACCTCTTCTCCTCCTCACTGGTGACAAATGGCTGCCACCCAGGGCCCCTGAATAAATCAGCCTCCAAGTGCCTCAAAGCAATACAATGGACTGAACTCATCAATGGTCCCCATTGTTAAGGCTCAAACTAGAAGAGAAAGTACTTCTCTGCAGAATAAAAGGTGATTGTTAAGAGGTGACTTTGAAGTTCAAAGATCCTTTCTATCAGCGCAGGCAGATGGTGCACCTACACAATAGGTGTAATTTAGCCTCACAGTCTGTCCAATCACACTGGCCTTTGGTGGCCCCCATCAGCACAGGGATGGCTGTGTTCTTTTTCTATGTAGCAGGGCAGAAAGACCCTCCACCCCTGGGAAGCAGATCCTGGAGGCCTGGTGCCCAGTAGGCAGGGCTCTCGGGACCCTCCCCAGCCAGGTCTCCATCTGGGCTCAGGCTGGCTGTAGACTCCTCTGTGGAAGGGTTTCCAGAGAACCTCTGACAGCGCTCAAGTGTCTCTCCAGGGCCTGTGGAGAGGGTGCACTGAGATGTACCACGTTTTGTTTCCCAGGTTTGGTTCCTGCCTCAGCTGCCTTCAAGGGTGAAATTCACAACCTGCCACCACACCACCCTCCAGCCTTTTGGCCTCGACTGCAAATGGACTGGGTGCTTCTGCTGCCAACAGAAGATGCTGGAGACAGAAAACAAGGGACCAGTTTCCATTCCCACCCTTCCATCCCTATCTCCTAACGCCCCTCCCTTCTTAACAGCAGGATTCTTATACTCCCTACTTCAGATATGGGGGCGACTGAGCAGAAGACAAGAACACCTCAGTCCCAGCCCTGGGACACGGGCCAGGAATCAAGCCTCCGCCTGACCCCTTCCTCTTTTATCCATTAACGATCATCCTTGAGACCTTAGCAGTGTCTCCTGCCTCCCCTCTTGGAATGGGAGAAGCGAGAAACCAGTCGGGTGGGGGAAGAACGCCTATCACTAAAAGGCCACCGTGGACAAATTCTTCTTTTGTACGCTCCCTCCCCTCCCTTCTGATGCAACCCGGGGGAGGGGGCGGGCCCTGGCCGTCCTGGCTCCGGAGACCGCTGCCACGTTCTCGCCTCCCCGCGGGAAACCACCCCGGCCCCGGGCGGTGATCTCCCTGCAGAGTCCCGGCGCCCGCGGACAAACTTTGCTTAAGCCCCTCCGCCCGGCCCGCCCGGCCCACGCCCTCCGGTCCCGGCGCCCGATTTCGCTTTCGCTTTGCGGCCGGTGGCCAGCGCGGCTCCGGCCCGAGGGGCCCCGCCGGCACCTGCGGCGTCCCGGAGCGCGGCCTCACCCCAGCCTCTCCTTGCTCTCCTCCGAGGTGAGCTGGTCGAAGGTCTTGGAGTCCTCCTTGCCCAGGAAGGCCTCGTGGTCGTACTGGAAGCTCTGGTTGTCCTCGGCCGGCCGCTCGCCCAGGTCCGAGTCGGGCCGCACCACGCGCTCCTTGCGCACGGTGGGCTTGGCCCGCAGCGCCGGAGGCGCCAGCAGCAGCGCCAGCAGCAGCCCCAGGGCCAGCCCCAGGTGGCGACCGCGGCCGCCGCGCGCCATCGTCCGGAGGAGAGCGCGGCCCGCGGGAAGGCTCCGAGCGAGCGACGAGCGGCGGCTCGGAAATGGGGGCTCAGAGCGCGCGCGGCGGCGGCGGGGCTGGGGCCAGGGCCGGCGCCGGGAGGGAGGGGACGGGCCGGCCCCTCGGCCAGCGCCCGCCCCGTGCCAGAGCGGAGGGGCGCGCCCCGGGCGGCGGGCAGGGGAGCGCCGGACGGTCCCGCTCACGCGCCCATTGGCCGCCGGGCTGCGGGGGGAGGCCGGGGCCTGGGAGCCACGTCGCCCGCCCGGGTGGTGGGCGCGGGGCTCGGGTTTCGCCTGGGCCCCTCCCCGCGATCTCGTCGCGAGGGGCGGGCCCAGGCGGATTAGGCCGGAGACTGGAGGGCTCCTAAGAAGACCGGGAAGTTCTTTGTCGAGCAACAGATGTTCGGGGTAAAACTCCCTCTCTCTTTTTCCAGTTCCGGAGAACTGAGAGGAGGGAGGCGCTGCCCCCGCCACCCCCTGCCCAACTTCCAACTCAGCTCTAGACCCCGCCCCAGATGTGCTCTTAAGACAGACTCAACCGCGCTTAACCAAACTTGGGGTTCCCTGGTGGCTCAGGCGGTGAAGAATCCGCCTGCAATGCAGGAGACTGGGTTCGATCCCTGGGTTGGGAAGATCCCCTGGAGAAGGGAATGGCTACCCACTCCAGTATTGTGGCCTGGAGAATTCCATGGGCTGTATAGTCCATGGGGTCGCAAAGAGGCGGACAGGACTGAGCGACTTTTACTCTCTTAACCAAACTTGGAGTCTGGTTACAAATTCAAGAGACTGGAAGGAGACCCGGGTGGGTGAGGTCTTCTGGAAACCAGGGTCGCAAACCTGGTGCTGGAGGAGGGCCAGACAGATGACTTCAACATGATGCGGCGCCGTCTACTTTGAGCGGCCCTGTGCACTCCCGCTGCCAGCGGAAGTGCAGGTCCCAAGCAGATCTCAAAAGAAATCAGGATCTTGGATGTCTGCTTTCATTTCTAAAGGATGGCAGCTCACCTTACAAAAGTACCGCTTGTCTTGAACAAATCTTATCTTACCTTTTCATCACTGTGTGTAGTGATGAAAATGTGTATCTGGGCTGCCCAATAGGGAGTGGCTAGTGGTGACTCAGTAAAGATTCCACCTGCAATGCGGGAGACCTGGGTTCGATCCCTGTGTTGGGAAAATCCCCTATAGAAGGGACCAGCTATCCTCTTCAGTGTTCTTGCCTGGAGAATCCCATGGACAGAGGAGCCTGGCAGGCTCCTCCATGGGTTTGCAAAGAGTCGACACAACTGAGCGACTTTCAGTGACTTACTTTAGTGAGCACCAGACAGGTAGCTAGTGTAACTGAGGCATTGATAGTTGAACTTAAATAGCCACACGTGGCTATTGGCTATCATACTGGACAGTTCAGGTAGAGCAATAATTCATGTGTCACAGCCTTTTGAAGCTCATTGGAAACTGTGGACCTTCTTACAGAAAAATGTACCTAGAGTTGCTGGCTTGAATGTTTGATTAAAGTGACAGAGGATGCATGGCTTTTTGGGAGCCTCACTCGTGGGCCTCAGGTTAAGAATCCCTGGGAAACTAAACTTACTTGTGGTTGAAGAGGACCCCTCCCATCCCCCCCCCACCCCTGACAGCTGTACCCCCAAGAGCTTTTCTACCATCTTGCTCTGTCCCCCATCCCTGATTCTCCAGAATCCACTGGGCTGTGTTTCTTGCTCTTGCAATAAGGATGTCAGGACATTATCAACAGCAGTATAGATCCAAGTACCCATCTTTTGAAGGCTTCTTTCAGTGGATTAGTGAATAATGATTGTGTGCCCTCCATGACCTGAGCACTGGACTGGCTGCTGAGGATACAAAAGAGGAACATGACAGTCATGGTTTCTGTAGAGCTGTAGTGTATGTGAACAAATATTCATTCACTCACTTACTCATTCATTCAATATACTGAGCAGTCAGGCCTAGGCTGGGTACTGAAATAGTGAGTAGTACAAATCAGCAGGACAAGTTAGGAAAGTTGGCACTCAGTATCATGGACTATGGTGGAGGGGATGGATTAGGGAAGGCCTTCTGGAAGAAGGGACATTTAAACAGAGACAGAAGGTGAGAGGGATAAGCCAGACAGCAGGGATCTGAATATATGAGAGGATAAGGTCTTGTGTGAATTGATAGCAGTGAAACTTGAGGAGGTGTCCCTGTGATCCTGTACCTCCCATCAGCTGGAAGTGAGACCTGTCAGTGGGACATATTCCTTGGTGCTTCACCCCACCAGCACTGCCTTTGCATGAGACAGGAAGTGCTATGCTTGAGTAGTGAGTCCCCCACTGCCTGTCTAGAGGTTAGGATTTCAAACAATAGAGAAGCATTACTTTGGGTTTGTAAGAGCTCCCAATGAAAAGGCATGGCCTCTGAAGCAGGGAACTTACTACCTTCTGTGCTCTTGGGACAGGCAAGATGAGATTTGCTGAGTGGGGAGTGGGGTGGTGGTGGCAGGGGGTGGGGGGTGGGTGGAGGCAGACCAAGAGGAGGAGTGGGAGGAAGCACAGAAAAAGATCAGAACTAGAGAAAGAGAAGGATAGTTCAGTCGCTCAGTCGTGTCCGACTCTTTGAGACCCCATGGACTGCAGCACGCCAGGCCTCCTTGTCCATCATCAACTCCCAGAGTTTACTCAAACTCATGTCCATTGAGTTGGTGATGCCATCCAGCCATCTCATCCTCTGCCGTCCTCTTCTCCTCCTGCCCCCATTCCCTCTCAGCATCAGGGTCTTTTCAAATGAGTCAGTTCTTCGCACCAGGTGGCCAAACTATTGGAGTTTCAGCTTGAACATCAGTCCTTCCAATGAACACCCAGGACTGATCTCCTTTAGTATGGACTGGTTGGATCTCCTTGCTGTCCAAGGGACTCAAGAGTCTTCTCCAACTCCATGGTAAAGAAGGAGGAAATGAGAAAGTGGGTGGAGACTGGAGACAGTCTTTACTTATTTGCAGCATTGCCAGCAACAGGCCCTGACCCCAGGGATTGAGAATTGCACATCCTTTGCCCCGATTCTAGTTGGTTTCCTGCCAGACACTAGTAGTTTCCAACAGTTAGATTGTTCCAGGGGTAGTCTTGGCTCCCCGGGGAATTACAAGAGAATTCCAACACTGCTGTGCAGTGGGAAGTTTACATCATCTCCCCTGAGTTTGCCTAATTCTCTCTCTCTGTTTGGTATCCATTTATTATTTATTTATTTGGCTGCATAGGGTCTTAGTTGCATCATGGGGGATTTTTTGCTCCATTGCACAGACTCTCTAGTTGTGGCATATTGATTCAGTAGTTGGGGCACATAGTCTTAGTTCTTCACGGCTTGTGGGATCTTAGTTCCCCGAGCAGGGATTGAACCCATGGTCCCCTGCATTGCAAGACAGATTCTTAACCAGTGGACCAGCAGGGAAGTCCCCTGCATTCTCTTCTTTTATATTTTCATCCCTCTACTATCCTACGAGAGTTAAGTCCTCTCAACCAGAGGGTCAGGAGTAAGTGATGATATTAAATAGTCAAAGTATTTCACTATGTAATTGCTTTCTTTCATCTTAAAAATTGCCTTCTCTTTCTTCCTATGTGCATGTTTGGCTAAGTATGCTGTCATTTTTAATCTTTATTCTTGATGAAGCAAAGGAACCAGAAGCAAGGGGAATGACATTTAACAGCACATTGTACCAGAGGAAAGGAAAAGCAAATTTCAAAAAGGTGAGCTGGTGTGCTGATCTGCTATTTCTGGCTGTGAATAATGTCATCAAAACAACAAAATCCAGCCAGAAGTTACTGAAACAATAGGAAAACCTTATCATCTATGGAACAAGAAGTCTCATGTTAGATCAGTTTCAGAGTGTTTCATTCAAGTGGCTTGATGATATCAGTAAGGAACCGGTTTTCTGTTTTGTTTTTTTCTCTGAGAGGCATGGGGAAAAAAGTGTTTCCTCTCTTTATCGGGAAGAAGAATCTTCCAGCAGACATTCCTTCACATCTCATTGGCCAGAATTGTGTCACAGGCCTATGCCGGATCCAGTGACAGGCAAGGGGACTGGAATTTCCAGGGCCGATTTAGGCAAATCACGATTCACTTCCTGGGGATGGAAGATATGTAGCTTCCTGTGAACCACGTGGTTAGAGTTCTGTTGGCAGGGAAGAGCAAGTCGATGACTATGTCTGCTAGGAGCAATCATGATTCACTGCTTTCAGGTTTAAAAGCACCTTGAGCATTCTACCTTTTTTTACTTCTCTGCTCAAAATTGCACACATTCTTCAAGGCTCAACTCAAATGTCACATTTCCCTTGAGATTTTCCCTTATACCTCTAGTCAGAACTTATTACTTCTTCCTAAATATGCCCAGAGCCTTTGTCTCTCACACATAACACTTTTCACAGTCTCTGGGTTAAGAAATTTGTCTTTTTGTCTTCCCTAATTCTGAATTCCTTGAGAGGAAGGGCCACATATGATTCATGTTTATGTGCTAAGTCCAGGGACCAGCACATTTACTGCCTTTCCCCACAAGTTGATCCCCATAAGACAGATTCATCTTGAGTCTGGGGATCATTATCGTTGGTTCATCATATACCCAGCACCTAGGGAAGTACCTGGTGCATGTAGGTGCCCAAAAGGTATTTTGAATAAATAGTAGAATAATAATAACTACCAGTCTCTACTTCTGGTCAAGGTGGATGAGAGAAGGGGCTGGATTTACACTTCCATTTCAAACAAGTAAACAAAAAAACAGTCAAAATATATGAAACAACAGTTTCCAAGGCACTGGTCACCAGCAATGAAGGACACTAGAAATAAGTAAGGTGACTCCTACCATGGTCCCAGTTTGCTTTTCTTCACATATTTTCCAGGGTACAATTCAGAGAGGAGAAACTAAGATGAAACCTGGCAGATGCCCTGAGTTGAAAAGAGAAAGGTGAGTGTCCAGGGACCAAATCAGCCACATTTCTTAGGAG